TTCAATGGAAGCTAAACATTTAATTAAAGAGGACAGTTTATGGACCAAAAGCTTCAAATTCAGAATCATCACTCCATGAGACCTGTTGCCAGTAATTTTCAGTCATTTTTTTATGTAATTTGGCATACCTCAGCTTTGTTCTTTCCCTTTTTCCCTTCCTCACAATAAACGAACAGTAGATGGATCAGCTGAAAGGCCAAATGGATCTCTCAGGCCTTTTGGCAGGTCTTTGGTGGATTTTCCCCATTTCTGAATTAATCAGTGCATTTACACAAACCTTTCATGGATTGAATGACCATGAAAAGAGGCCACAATAAATTGATTAGAAATATAAAAGATGGATTTAATCTCACCATAATGTCACCGATTAGTCAGTAAAGTCTCATTTTGAAGCTGGCCAAAGTGCAAGACCCAAGATAGAAAATTATGCAGTGACACTGCTCAGATAGAACGACATCATCGTATAGCAATAAACACTTTTTGTGTGGTTGACACTACCTTAGAGCAGCGGTCCCCAACCCCCGGGCCATGGACAGGTACCGGTCCTTGAGTCATTTGGTACCGGGCCACGAGAGTCGAGACTCGGGTGTGAAATTTATGGTTTTCAGGGTTTTTATCGTTATGTTTTTGATCGTTTTTATCGTTAACTCGGTTTCCCTGGGTCTTTTCCCATGTGTTAAAAAAAATATATATATTTTTTGGTACCGGTTCTATTTTGTTGTATTTATCCGCGATACCTTAAAGACCGGTCCGTGAAAATATTGTCAGACATAAACCGGTCCGTGGCGCAACAGAGGTTGGGGACTGCTGATATTAGAGGACACTTAAAATGAAACCCCACAAAAGTGAGCATATATGTGAGTTTCGAAGTCATGCTGACTGTAATGTACAATCTGCGTAAACAAAGATGACAAAAAGAAATTCTCAGCAGGCTCATCTAGCAAGTAGCTAAAACACGCAACACCAGCCCTAAACTGGGTGCATTGTTTGTGCCGTTTTTTTGTAGGCCAAGATCAAGTCCTTCTTTACAGCCAGAATCAATGCTGCAAATCTTTCTGTTTGTGGTTAAATCGGCAACACTCATGAGCATAAAAAACACCCAACAAGCCAGCAGTGAAGGCCACTCACCAATTAATGTAAGCCGCATTGCAAAAAACTCATATTTCCAACTGTGTTTGTTTTGCTGGTTACAACTGAGGCTCTTTTCTAATCTGCTGAATATGGAGAAGAAACTCTTAACACTTAAGAAAAAACTTGAGGATAAAAAAATGAAACTCATTACTCTGACTCTCAAGTTTCTTGATCAAGCCTGCAGTGAGCACAGTGGTTTCACATACTCAGCACAAGTCTAGTGGGTCTCTGTGGTGATTTTGGCAGCCATCTGTTTATTGCTGCCCAGATTAAATTTAAAAAAAAAATCTGGTAAAACTTACTTTAGCTTTTACAATCCCCGCTGATAGAGAAAACTAAAACAGGGTGTAACATGAAATCATTATGGATGAAGTTTACAGCTGAGGTTTTGTTTGGGCTTTGTGCTTTGGCACATTCAGCATGAAACATAATGAAAGTTACATTAAAGCCACAGCTTTAATTTGTGTAGGTAGAAGAAAGAACTCTGTGGGCACATCACATTTAATTAAGTTTAATTAAATACTGCTGAAGCACAGCGCATGAACTCAGAAATTTCTCTTTGAACAATATTACATTAATTTACATGGTGAGTTAGTTTTAACTAAAGAAGGACGCCAGACACATTTGTACTTTTAGCAAATTTAACACCATTATTCATACAGCCTTTAAATAAAGTTGGTCTAGTTGGTCATCATCCACCATGTAGAGGAAACGTTTTCTTTAACCCTTTAAGACCTACCATAGAACCAAGTCTGCCAGAGTTATCTTTATATTTTTACATGCTGTAGTGCCATTTTTGGGAGCATTTCAAGTTGCTCCCAAGTATACATCAATACAACCATTATAGCCCAAACTTTAATAATATGTATGTATTAAGTCCATAATAACTACATAAATTGCAACAAACTGCAATAAACTACAAAAAATTGAAAATTGTTTTTTTTTGTTGTTTTTTTTTTTTTTTTTACATATATTTGTAGTTAAAGAAATTAAAGAGGTTTGTCCCTCAAAACTGTAAATACAAAATAGTTTCTAACAACAGGAAATTTATTTTGAGTGTCTTCATAGTTTTATTTTTGAGATTCACTAATTTTTATATACTGCAGGAAAAACGAAAATAAATATTATAATGAAAATTTGCAAAAAAACCCAAAAAAACCCCAGCATTTGCATCACAATAAACTATTTCCAGCAGTGCAATTTGAGTTCTAAGCATCCCAGAAACTATTCAGACAAGCATGAAGTCAAGCATGAAACACCAGTACAGGCTTATAAGGTCCCGAAGGTAAAAAAACCCAAAAATGACATCACTTCCGGTTTCGGTAATGGTGGACATGCTATAGTTTGCGCTGACGTCTATTCCAACATAGGAAGTGTTATGAACAGCTGATCGGATCGGCAAAGCGTGTTTCTGGAATATTATGTTTTTGTTGCTGCAAATGCTTTTTATGCTGTTTTTGCAAAGCTTTATGTGGAAGGAAACTGTGACCTAGGACAAGCTGATGGCATAAAATGTAAGTACAACTCCTCCGGTTTCATGTGCAAAAGAATTATTGTGCTAGCTTACGTGGTTCCGGATCTACAGGGATTTAAAAATAGTTACGCAAAACTGAGCGTACCCGCTCCGACCGGTTTTAAAGGGTTATGGTAGCTATTTCCTGACATATGTATACATATTGTTACTGGGGTGGAGGCTCATAGTCAAAGTTTGAAATAATGAGGTCAGAGTATGTACAAGTACTCCCTTATATGGTCATCTTAAGCGCACAAGGGGGCAGCCAATAACAGGTAATCTGGCTTTAAGCAAACTAGTCCTGTTTCGTACAGAAGATGAACTGAGGAGCTGCTAAGAGCTGCCAGGCCAAGTGTTTGATAAATCATGGAAAGCTACTCTTGCAGCTTGAATCTTTGCTAACAGGACCATAGGGCTGTAGCAGTAGAGCAAAGTTTTAAAGCAATATCATATTCAAATCAGAAGAGATTTAGATAAAGTGCATCAAACAAGTCTGTAGACCGACTAAATGAGGTTGATTTGACTCTCTTGATGTTTTCTCAAAAAAAAAAAACAACAACAAAAAAAACAAAGAGCACAGATGCTTGGATCTTGAAAAGTAATCTTTTGTAAATTTGTTTGTCAGGAACCATCTGCCCAAAAACAAATAAGCAAAGGAAAGTCTGCTTTACATGCAGAAGACAGATTCGTTCGTCTGTTTGCAATCTTTGGACAGGTGGTGGAGAGAAAATAAGCATAATGGCCTGTAGCCTGTAGATACTGACGACAGCCACAGGAACATCCTAACATGTGTATACATATACACCACCATGTATAGCAAGATTGGTGCCACAGTTGCTCTTAATTAACAAGTGTTGGCCATTACCAAAAATAAATAAATCTATATTATAGTTTTTAGATATCTGTAATGGTTTATCCACCAGTCCATGCAAGCAACATTTCAGTGCTTAACTCTTTACAGCCAATGATTTCATGGTTCAGGCTTTAAAGAGTTAAAAGCCAGTCTGCAGGCTCACAGAGGTTAAAATGAATAATCTGTTGTTCATTCTAAAGTCACTGCATCACTGCACTTAACACCTACACTCCAACTGCCAAAACAGCAGGCAACCAAAGTCTAGTTGTGCCGCCAGCGGTGCAGTGGCGGCATGACAGAGTCAGAGAATCGTCACTGTAATCCTCTTTTCTCAGGGCCAGGTGTATTAAGGTGGAAATGGATTTTAGATTTGTCATTAATATGACGTCAGCTCACAGCGAGAAGGTGAAAATCTGCAGGGGAGCACAAACTGATTTCATTTTCACAAAAGATCTGAGAAACGTCATGTAGAAAACAGGAAATGTGAAGTTAATTGATTACGATGGCCATCAGAGCATGGTAATCTAGCTGTATCCTTTCCCTGAGAATAAGGGACAGTCAGCGTGCAATAATAATAATCTCCAGCTACATACGTCTGTATATATAGAGTATTGGTGGGGTTATTTCATTTCCACCCCATTCACTTCTGAACGTTACCTCCAAATGAGGTGTATCTCGCTGTGGATGTTAATGAACTTTTCATTCACTGAGGTTATACTGCACTCTGTTTCAACCATTTGAAATGTATTTCAGAGTGATTAAAAACAACAGCCTAAGATTTTCTAATTGGCAGTAAACCCAAAGTGCAAAGTGCAAAGAATGTTATTAATTTTGAGGATACTTAGTCATAAAGTACATTGATGTTCTTTGTTAAGTTTGACAGGTTTTATTTCTGTTTGCAGTATTTTATAAGGATTTAAATTCTTTTTGTCCTTGAAAACATTTGTTTGCAAAAGATTCCAAATTTCTTCTCTGCAAGTATTGAAAAGAACCTTTTGACAAACATAACAAAGCAACAGAAGAGCTGCTTTTGCCGAGCTGTGGATGAACTCCAACTCTTTGTTCTGTGCTGCAGCCTTGGTGAGTTCTGCGTAGGATTACATGAACCAGTTCTCATTGTTCAGGGTCTTGTTGGAGTGGCCCTCCAGTTCACAGAAGATGAACTCTGCAAGAGAACAAAGACCGCCTTCGCAGCTGCAGTCCAGGACGGTGGAGTTGGAGTTCATCTGAACATGCGAAGCAGCTGAAGAAAACTGAATCTCCAAGATAAGGAAGTAATCTGGACAATGGGAAAAACTTGAACACGGTGCCATTCTAACACATGAAAAAAAATGGCTTAAATGAGGCATCAAACCTACTTGTGTGGAGGTGGATCTACTGACTAACCCAGGGGTCAGCAACCTTTAACACCCAAAGAGCCATTTGGACGCGATTTCCACGCAAAGAAAACACTGGGAGCCGCGAATACTTTTTGACATCTAAAATGAAGATAACACTGCATATATTGTTTTTTTTTTTACCTTTATGCTTTGTGTGAACAACTAAGGCGTGTTGCTTAAATCCATGAAGTGCTACAGAGAAAATTACATTTTACTTATGTAATTAACACATTTTGAACTCTTAAAGATATATAACGAAAGGAAAGACACCCAGCTGAACTAAAATGATGTAGCAAACAACACTGTTGTGAGCCGCCACCCTTATATCGCCTTTGGGCTTTTGGAGCCTTGACCTGACTTTTAAAAAAAATAATTGGAAAAAAAGCACTATGCTGCTAAAAAAAAATGAAAAATAGATATTTGCAAAATTCAGCCTAAATATGTATTTTACCTGGTTAATGTGTGTGGCGGGGCGTGGTCTGCAGCGCTGCTGCAGGGGAGGCGGACGCACCTGAGCATCATGCAAACATCGTCGGGTCTGCCGTGATATGTTTACAATGGGACTTCTGCTCCTGAACCTCTGCGCACAGCGTCTGCAAATTGGGGCTGTACGAAGTCACTTTCATCTTTACGCAGGACTGTAAGCTGTCATCTGTGAGGCGTGAGCGGTGTTTGTTTTTAACATAGTTCACGGTGGAGCTGCTGACATAATGTGGATCCGAAGATCCATAATTCGCTTACCTGGGGTTGAAAGTCTCGATAAATGCACGGCGTTTCGGCGGGTATATCGGCTTCTGCAAGTGTGACGCTTATTTTGAACGATTAAAAAAATAATAGAATATAATTTTATTTTTATATTTCAATATGACAATAATCTTCCAATTTAGAACTACAAGTTAAAAAAAAGAGCTAACATAAATAAAATACACTTCAGCTAATTACTTAAAAATATATTTATTTTTATTTTCCCAAACCACGCGGAGCCGCAGGTTGCCGACCCCTGGACTAACCAGTACCAGTACTATGAATACCTATGGACTTTATGGATACCTACAGTACAGTAGGTATCCATAAAGTCAAATGAAGCATGTAAGTATAGATTGAAAATCTGTTTACTGTCATGTCAGACCATACAAAGTAGAAAAAAACCTCTCTTTGACTTCTTCCTTTTGTTTGATGGACTTGCCTGTTTCCAACATTATGCACTGTCATCAATTGTCCACAGATACCCAAACCACAGATAATAGTGATAAAAACACAATTAGAATCCAATGTGCCCGTCTCTGGTTATGAAGCAGGTGAAACATAGCTCACCAGGAAGATCGCGAACACAGATTACATGTTCTTTAAGTGTCACCCACCTGTGGCGGTCCAGTGCGATGACGTTGAGCGTCACAGTGGAGACATGCACGGTGAGCCCCTGGGCGTAGGGCAGCAGGAAGCAAAGGGTGCTACCGAATTTCCACTCACCCTGCAGGGTGTAGACGAGGGTGAAGGGGAGGCACAGAGTGTTGACCAACAGGTCGGCTGGAGATAGACAAGAAGAAACATGTTTGGCTGTAAACGTTCTCATGAATACATAACAGATAACTTCCACTAAACTAAGTTATACAAATGCAACTTATGTTGCTGTTCGTGTGTCAGGACGCACTGGAGGCAAAAGTTAAGCAAGTGTGTGCATTTTGCCTTCCTTGGACTTACTCTTGATAAAGTTGGATAGTTTAGCATGCTTTTAGCATGTTTAGCAGCATTCAGTGTCTTAAGTTGTGGAATTTCATTGGGCATTGTCTGTTGGGCATATGGAGTCTTTTTTTCATCATCGCTATCGCAGGGCATTGCTATACAGGTAAAAAAGTCTCTGTTGACCGAATACTCACCCTAAAAATTGAACGCAGTGTTACCATTTAACTCATAAAGGCACAAATATAGTATGATTACTTCCTGTACTATCTTTGCCATTTTATGTTTGTGTTTTTATGTATATGAAGAAGAACATTGCTTTCCTCTTTTGTCTGCTTCTCCTCACAAACACATTAAACTCGTTCTATTTCTGAGGTTAATTTTATCTGAAATTGCTGCAGAAATTCTACACCACCCACTAAACTATCTCCCTTTGTATCTTCTCCACCATCATAGATAATTAACCGGGCATCCAGCCTTGACTGTCTCAGCTGTTTTTTTGAGGTTTTTTTGTGTTGTTTAAAGGAGACACACTTCCCCTGCAACAAGAGGGCAAAGGATAGATGAAAAGAAAAGGGGAAAAACACATGAGCTAGAGCATGCACCCACGATGATACATAAAAGAAAATTCCCCTCTCGCCCCTGCGGATGGTCTATCCTTCAAGCTCGGGTCCTCTACCAGAGGCCTGGGAGCTTGAGGGTCCTGCGCAGTATCTTAGCTGTTCCTAGGACTGCGCTCTTCTGGACAGAGATCTCCGATGTTGTTCCTGGGATCTGCTGGAGCCACTTGCCTAGCTTGGGAGTCACCGCACCTAGTGCTCTGACTACCACTGGGACCACTGTTACCATCAACCTCTACATCTTCTCGAGCTCTTCTCTGAGCCCTCGGTATTTCTCAAGCTTTTCATGTTCCTTCTTCCTGATGTTGCTGTCATTTGGAACCGCTACATCTATCACTACAGGTGTTTTCTTCTATGAGCTGTTGTCCTGACTTGCCCTTGCCATAGCATGTGTGTTGTACCTTGTCAATCTCTAGCTGTGAGCAGTCCCTTCTTCTGAATGTTTGAACACTGAGCTAATAATTGTTTCGCCATCAATGTGGATGTTGGCTCTTGAAGATTCCATAGGTCCCTCATCCTATTCATGTAACACCTTCTGTTATTTGCATAGTAGCATTCCAACAACGCCCTGTTTTCGTCTCTTGCCCACAGATGCCTTGTTGATCAAGGCTTCATATTTATCTCTCTCGCTCATGTCTGCGGTAGGCTTGCTTAGCATGGGGGATCTAGCCTTTAGGACCCTTACTGGATACAGATGCCCCAGGCGGGAATCGAATCGAATTGCGACTCCCGCTCCGAAAGTGCACAGTCTTTGACCTACCACATTTCGAAAAAGGTTCAGGTCAAGGTTTTGTATTTCATGCCTGCTTTCTTCTCATTAGCAATTTACTAGAAAAACCCCATGAATACCAATGAAAATACTTCAATTAATAAAATCTTCTTTTAAAGAATTTAAAAGAGTAAAAGTAAAAGTTATTTTACTGCTATGGGAATATTAACTGAAGAGTCTAGACTGAATTGGCATGTCAAAGTGTCAAAGTCTGCCCATGGCTTTACAAAGTCTAAGAGGTGCAGTGAAGACATAAAATACTATTTTTTTAATAAAATGGCCCTTTATTCCTTTTTGTGATGATTCAAGTCTTATTACACAGGAGTGACAATGTTTGGAAAGTTGAAACTGTCTCTAGAGCTAGACAAACTGAAGTATTAAGACAAAAAAATGCATATTAATTATTATTGTTTTCAAAAGATTTTTTAAATTTACTGTTTTACAAAACCACAACAATAACAAAAACCCCACATGAACACCTGGGATATGTTGGCTTCAGCTTTTTCTGAGTGTTTCATCTGTCGTGTTCTTGTCCAAGTTCTCAAAATGTAGTCATTATCCCAAATACAGAAAAAAAATTGAAGGGTTGTTGTTTAATGCAGTGGTTTTATTTGTGATCCTGACTATACGCAATACTTGTGTAACACTGAGATCAGCTTTCTTTTCTTTTTCTTTTTTCACTCAAACACAATGCAGGCAGGAAATTTAAAACATCGGCTCATTCCATTAAAGATGCCACAATTTTTCAGTGTTACGGTTGATGTGAGCCCAACTGTTGCTTATGATGCTTATGATAACATCCAGTTTGTTACTCATAAAGCCCTCTTGATGTAACATTTAGCCAAAATATTGACTTCAGACTACACCCAACTCAGACGAATGGTTCCACAAGCTTAAAAATGACTAGCAGGTGGAACAATTACATAACTGGGTCCAAAGTGTCAAGAAAGAAAGAAA